CACGGAGCTCCCTCTTCCACCACCTGAGGGGTCAACTCTCTCCCCAAAGGGAAAAAAAAGTTTCAGTGTTTCTTATCCTGCCCTCAAAGTTTCATACACTAGCTATGCCCTAAGGGAAAACAGTGGAACTCTGAGCACTTTCCATGAAGGTAACCAGATGTTAGAAATAACAGAAAGTATTTTCAAATTTGTCATTGTAAATGCACTCACACAACTGAATAAACTGATTAAAAAATCAGAAGAAGGTTTGGTGACAATAATCTGTCACATAGAGAATATATTTTTTTTCTAAAGAAGAAAAGAAGAATTTGGATTTGAAAAATAAATAAAAAGAAAGATATAGAGAAAGATATGTTTCCTGGAAAGCTTAACAAGGACAAAGAAAGCAAAGATACAAATATCTGAATTAGAAATGCAAACGTTGACACTGCAACAGACCCACACGAAACAAAGAGCAGTAACACAGCGCTATGCAAGACTGTACTCCAACAATTTTGATAACATAGAAGAAATACCAAGAAATATGCCATCAATCCAAATTAATGTAGGCCGATGTGGAAACCATGAACGGACCCATTACAACAAAAGAACGAGAGACCATCAATAAACTTCCCCCAAGAAAAGCCCAGAAATTACAGGGGAGTTCTGCCACGTACTCAGGGAAGATATACCACTAATTCTACACAAATGTCCAGAAAATAGAAAGGGACTGCAACCACCACCACCACCCCCCTCCGCCCCCGATCCTGTGAAGTGAGCATAACTCTGACATCATAATCACACAACTACACACCCGTATCCCGTATGAACAGATATGCAAGGTTTCGCAATCAAATTCTAGTCAATAGAAACTAACAACATATATAGATTTAACTTCATCATGACCCAAGTGGGATTGATACCAGGAATGCAAGCATGATTCAACATTTGAAAAATGATCAGCGTGATCCACAACATAAACAAGATCAAGAATAAAAACCCGATGATGGGATCAATAGATGCAGAAAAAGCATTTGACAATACCTACAACCAATTGCTAAGAAAAACACTCAATAAGACAGGAACAGAAGAGAAATTCCTCAACCTAATAAGGGCCATATATGAAAATGCAATGGCCAACATCACACTCAACGGAGAAAAACTGAAAACATTTTTTGTGAAAACTAGAACTACACCAAGTTGGCCTTATTATCACTCTTATTTAACAATGTGCGAGAGTGCTAGACACCTTAGGCAGAACCATGAATCAACAAAAAGAAATCAAAGGAATACAATTAGGCCCCGAGGGCTGAAGCCCTGGCTGCTTTCATATGATATGACGTTATATACAGAGAGTGCCAACGACTCCACACAGACTGCTGGGAACAACCGAGAGATTTGGAAAGGGAGCAAGATGTAAGACCGGACAGTATAAATCAAATGGATTCATATGTACCAGTGAAGAAAGCTCTTAGAAACACGTTAAGAAAACAAAACCATTTACAATGGCCTCATAAAATGTGAAATCTAGGAAGAGACCTAACAAAGCAAACAGGAAAACTGTACAAAGAAAAGTACAGACTATTATTATAAGAAACCAAAAGAGACTATCCCATGTTCATGGGTAGGAAGATTTAATAGTGTGACACTATCAATACTACCTGAAGTAGTGGTTCTCAACCTTCCTCATGCCACAACCCTTTCATACAGTTCCTGAGGTTGTGGTGAACCCCAATCATAAAATTATTTTTGTTGCTAATTCATAACTGTAATTTTCTACTGTTATGAATCGGGCGACCCCTGTGAAAGGGTTGTTCGACCCCCAAAGGGGTCGTGACCCACAGGCTGAGAACTGCTGACCTAAGGGAATCAAAAACTATGAAATTCAGATCCAAATCCCAACTTCATTCTTTAAAGAAATGGAAAAATTAGTTACCAACTTCATGTGGAGAGAAAAGAGGACAAAGATAAACAAAGCACTCGTCACAAAGAGCAAAATAAAGACCTAGTGCTACCTGACCTCAAAACTTACTATATGGCTATGGTAGTTAAAACAACTAGGCACTGGTATACAATGATGCATACAGAGACCAATAGAACAGGCTAGAAAACTCATCTGATTTTTGACAAAGGCCCCAAAAATATAATAAATGAGAAAGGGTCAACCTTTTCAACAAATAGTACTGGGGAAAAAATGGTTCTCCATCTGCATAAGAATAAAATGGAGTCGTACTTTGCCGCATGCACAGAAACAGGATTAGGTACCAAAATATAATCTCCAGAGCTTTAATGACCATCAATGAGAAATTTGGGGCACACTTATTGCAGGGCGTTCATGGACTACCAAATACAATAAAGGAAGTACGTGCAGTGGAAAGAAAATCAATAAATAGGACCAATTAAAAATCAAACACTTATGCACAGCAAAAGACTTCATCAAAAAAGTAAAAAGAGAGCCCATAAATTGGAGGAAAACCTTGAATAAGGACACAAAGGACAAGAGACTAATTACTAAACTCTACGGAATTCTGCAACACCTCAATAAGAAAAAATACATAATTCAATCAAAAGGTAGGCAAAGGGCATAAATAGATCATTCACAAAGGCTAAAACTCGAATGGCTAACAGACATATGAGGAAATGCTCACTATCACTAGCTTTGCGAGAGATGTAAATTAAAACAATGATTAGCTATCACCTTATACCCACAACTATAGCCTCATTCACAAAAGGAGAGACAAAGAAATGTTGGAGAGGATGCAGCGAGATTATAATTTACACACTGCAGCCTGGCACAATCTGTAAAGGTGGACAATCATTTTGGAAAGCGATATGGTGCTATTGTATTTTTAGTCTCAGTTGCCTTAGGTAATTCCAGAGTACTGCGTTGTACACATGCAGCACCTGTACACAGAATGTTGCCTATAGACAGACCTTGGTATAATGGTTGCACAGTGGGCTATGAACCACAGAGCCAGTACTTTGAAACCACTTTCTCTTAGGGAGAAACAGGAGGCTTACTACTCTTGCAAGAGTTACAGTCTCAGACACTCAAAGGGACTACAGTTCTACTCTGCCCTAGAGGGTCACTATCAGTGTACATTGTACAGTAGTCATTTATGTTTGAAAAAAATCTTTGTGATGAAGAAGGCATTCGTGGTTTGCCTTGAAAAATTCTATCATGCAATCTCTAATTTCGTTCCTTTCCACAAGGCCATCTTTTCCAATTAGTGTCCCTTCTTTTTGTTTCCCACTATCGCATTCCAACCTTGAGTAATAATCTATGCATCTTGGTTACATATTTGACCAACTTAAGATTGAAGAAGTTGGTACAAGTTTTCAATTTCTTCACTAGCTGTAATGGTTGGTGTGTAAATTTGAATAATAGTTATTGGCTGAAAGCTTACTCCATCCTTGTCTTTTGGTTGACTGGTGTGAGAGGGCAGCCCTTCTGCAATCATATTTTGAGTTTTATCTGGCCTGTGGGCTCCACACTCAGCAGTATATCTGACAATGCCCAGCTGCTAGTCTTGTAGTTTGCAGTGTCTGACAATGTTCTTCATAAAGTTATCAGTAGCTAATTCCTTCGAAGTGTGCAATCTATTCCTGCTTCACAGTCGGCTCTTGGTCTGGAAGCTCTGCTGAAATTTGTTCACCTGGGGTGTTCCTGCTGATGCTCGAAATGCCAGTGACACCGCTTCCAGCATCACAGCAGCACAGGAGCCACCACAGGATGCAAACTGACAGACAGGTGCTGGAAGTGCACACCTGAAAGATAGTTGTTGTTTTTTGTCCATTGACTTTTTTTCTGTTTAACGGTTTGCTTAATTTTAAAGATAATTGTTTCTCTACATAGGATATCAAATAATATATTTGGTTGCCATAATGTAGTTATTTATTTTTGAAAAGTGGCCTCTTCTTCATGCAGTAATATATAGCCTCTGCCTGTGTCTATCTATCTATCTATATCTATATATTCACATATATGTGCTATAAGTGATGCAAATCAGCATCATTCCTATTTTAACTAAAGCAATTTGAGAAAAGCAATATAATTAGATCCTTATCATTTTTGGTTTTGGTACAATTAGCAGTACATGCACTGGGATGAATTAGAATTCTGTGGAATTGTGTAAGAAAAAACAAGCCAACAATAGAGTGTGTTATTTGACCTTAGACTGATTATGACCCTCCTTTTCTCACATTGACCTCAAAATGAAATCCCTAAAATCAAAGCCATTGTCACTGAGGTAATGATTCTGATACATGTAAATTCTTAGCTCGCTGTGAATCTGCAGCATTCAATGTAGATTGCAATTTACTGCAAAGAAACCTAAAGTCCTCACAACTGGACTAATAGACAACACCATGATAAATGGAGAAAAGAATGATGTTGTGAAGGGTTTCATTTCCCTTGGAGGGAATCGCAATGAAAGGCCCTTCATACGATGATGGATGGATACAGTGGCTGTAACAATGGGCTCAAGTATGACAACAATGGTGAGCATGGGGAGATTGTGCTTTGTTCTACTGTACATTGGTTTGCTGTAAGTCAGAATCAAGAAGACAACAAAGAAGAACAATGAGATTGCTAAATAGCCCTTACATAATTCAATGATATATTATCATAATTATGTAATAGTATTTGACCTATAATAAAATACCAGTAATTCAAACATTTAATATATTACTTTGGTTACTTTTTTTCTTATAAACTTATTTATAATATGTTAGGGAGAAAAAAATTGAATGCAAATTAAATATTCTTTATTTAAATATTTTTCTTTTCCATTAGGTTTTCCAATTTGCTTCTCGGTACATTTTACTAAAACTAATTCTGAGGGGTTAGGGGTGGTTCAAGTTATTCCTTAAACAATTAATTCATGGAAGTAACTATCAATTATTTGGAAGGAAAAAATTTTGTTATAATACATGTTTGCTTTTGTTTTTTTAATAATTTACTTGAAGGATTTAGTTCTCTACATAACTCTAGAATAAATAAAATGTCAGCAGATACAAACCAACGAGAATGGAATAGAGGATGCCTGGCCGATCCTCCGGTGGTTGTATATTCCGATCCTGATCAATGGCTTCAATAGGTGGCATCACAATGATGGGATTCAGTTCTTCCTGAAAAATAATTCAGATTTTAACTTGTCTGCATTACTAGTTATCTCTCATGAAAAAAGTGGCACTTCCGCTATTTACGATCAAGATAGCTAGATAACATCTGGGGCATTAGCTGCTCTCCTATTTTAGGATGTGTAGTTTACCTCCTTAGACTACTCCATGTGCATCTGTGGAGGGAGAAAGGTGTATTCGAAGTCAACATTAAAAGACAGAGCAATTACACAAATGAGATTTCATGCCAGGAAGTGGTCCACGATGAACAGCAAAGAAGACCTGTATGAATCCATGTCCAATCTTGCCTAGAGAATTTAATTAAAATGAACACATGGCTATTAAGTCATTCACAAGCTAGAGATTTTTCTCCTCGGTTTTAGAAAAGATTTGTGAAAATAAGTTTATTTGTCCTTCCTAACTCATTGTTAGTCATTCTTGGGTGGCACAGAGGATTCGGCGGTGGGCTGCTGGCAGGAAGGTTGGGAGTTTGTTTCTCTGAAGATGTGTCCAGTGCTGGGCTTCTGAGAGTTACCTGCTGGAGCAGCTGTATTCTCCACCATGATTTGTAGTCAACTGGACACATCTAATGCTACGAGCAACCACAATCCACTCTCAAATATTTATAGACATAATTAATACTACAGTGAATTTTCAAATGATTCTTTAACCTAATGTAAATAAACAGTCACAGTCTTGCAAATTTCATAGAATTAAAATGAATCATAGGTTGATCTGCAGTTATCTACATTTAATATATAATGGATGGAAAAAAGATTCTAATTAAAAGATCACAGTGCATTCTTTAGAGTCAGTGTTTTCAAGTTAAGTATCGACAGCTTTTTTTTCTTGCTTTCAATGTTGTCTTTTGAATTTTCCTGTCCTTTCCTGACGAGGGATCGGATAGTCTAGGCTTGGCCAGCCCAATGGTCTCAAGTTGCAGCAGTCCCCTGCACCGGTTTTGTTCCTGCAATCTGCGGTGGTTGTTGTACACTGGGTTGCCAATCACAAGATCAGTTCCAAACACTTCGCCCATAAAGAACCGTAGTCTTGAGAACCCACAATGGCAGTTCTAGCCCACTCCACAGTCAGTATGAGTCAGAAACCTTGATGGCAGCGAGGTAGGTTCTTGTTTTTTTCATTTTTTTAGTTTATGATAATAGTACGAACTATAATATATAAACAAGTGGACATGACTTTGTTGCAATGAACATTCTTTACAAAGACAAATTGTAATAGGAATTTGGTCCCAGGGTCAATGGAACTCAGTGCTGCCCTCAGAACTGGATCTTAACACATAAGTTATCAATAATAATAATACAACTGTACCCTGAACATATAACTTTGGGAAACATTGTATGAAAGAATGTTTTAAGAACTAGTTTGTTGCACTAGGTGACTTTGCATGTGCTAATTTTCCTCATTGCTCTCTAAGAAGGAGGACAACGTTTGCATTTTAGACAAGCACTCAACACCATTTTCTTCATCTGATATTCGTTACGCACAGTGGGAAACACTGCTTCAAGTATTTGTAGCCCTCAGCCCAAATCTGTAAGTGGTGATTCTAAAGGGAAATAAAGTCCAGTGCAAGATCCTGCAACTTCATCTTCTAAAGGAATGACTGTCATATTGCTTTATATTGTTTCTATCACATGATAGAATCTTGAATATGTGATATACTGTCATATAAAATCAGTAACTTCAATCCTTTAGTTATCAGCAGAAATGTTTACAGATAGCATACTAAGTCTAAAACAAAATAAAAAATACTATTAGGCTGAACAAAAAATACGATTAAGCCATTATGTAGACTACCTAATTTTATATTGAAGTTTTTTTATATTGAAGTTGTAATAATTAGAGACTGTTAATAATTTGAGGTCACATACATGTTAGAAACTTTGTTGTATTCATTATTTCTAACGGGCTCTGAGCGGTCTTTAATGCTAGCAATTTCCTTGAAAATAAGGAGATATTTATAGGAATAACTTACTGACATAACAGTCTAATAGTCTATTCTCGTCTATGGAGCACTGGTGTAGAATGGTAGAATTGGGCTGTAATCTGCAAGGTCAGCAGTTTGAAGCCAGTGGGAAAAGTCCGGGGCTTTCTACACCAGTAAATAGTTACGGTCTCAGAATCTCACATGGGCAGTTGTACCTTGTCCTATAAGATCTCTATGAATTGGCATCCACTCAATGGCAGAGGGTTTGGACTTTGGGGGGGCGGGGGGGGGGATTCTCTACTTTAAGGTGAGTTGTTGGAATTAGTTGCCATCAAATTGGTCCCAGACACCCAATTAATAGTAGCCCAATGGATAGGTTCTTAAGGAAATTCTTCCTAATCCTGTACTCTGCTCATAATTGCAATCCACAAAGTTTTCAACAGCTTATTTTCAGAGAAGGATCACCTGGACTTTTGACCTTGACCACCCTAGCCTGAAGCTTTACTGAGACAATGCTCAGCATCATAACAACACCAAAGCCTCCCCTGGCCAAGAAAACCTGTTTATTGGCCTGGAAAAAAACTGGAGTTTCCTATGAAAGGTAAATATCCTGACACTGAACCATCACTGATCGCTGAATGTGGATTAGGAATCCTGAAACTATTGAGTCAATATCAAAATGACTCCCTTTAATCCAGATCATTATTGTTCCTCTGACAGAATTCAATATATGCACCATTCACTTTCTCTCTCTCTCTCTCTCTCTCTCTCTCTTTCTCTCTGACTTCCTTTTTCTCTGTGTCTCTGTCTACACACACACACACACACACACACACACAGATTCCTGTATCTTCCAATGGTCAGCTTGCTTCCTATGTAATACCTGTATTTCTTCCTGAACTGGATAAAATCTGAGACTTTTCAAAGTACCTATCTTTGGATATAGTACAATTGATGTACTATGAATTGTGATAAGAAGTGTATGATCCCCTAATAAAACGATTAAAAAAGAGAAAAGAAAAAAATATATGTATTTGAGTATGCACACATGTGCAAAAAAACAACAGTTGGCTAGTTCTTTTAAGGCATTTCATAAAGAAACCTGATTATTTCAGACAAAGTGATTACCTGCTAAGCTACTTTAATCCTGATTCAACTAATTAAGTCTGTGGTACCCTTTTTTTCTGAAAATATGACTCTATTCAGACCTTACCGAGGTGTTACAAATCTGAGGATTTTTGGTAATTTCACGATGTTTCCCACGATCAGGGGGGCATACCAAGGAATCCTAAATAGTCTACAGATTCTTTTAATAGTTTCCTTTTTTAACCTAGAAGTTTTTTAAAAATTTATTTTTAGCACTTCTGCTATTATGTTAAATGCCAGCAGAGCAGACTATAAGAGGGTGTCCCTGCTGATTGCCTTCACTGCGCATTTCACTAGAGATGAGAACAGACACATCCGGGGTTCCGTTTGCGTAGTTAGTCATGTAGTCCAAAACCTTCTTTCTGTGTATCTAAAGTTTGGGGAATAAGGAGTGGTGTTTTAATATTCATTTTTAAAGTTTTATAGACAATAGAATTAAAAATAACAGAATTGACAGGGAGGGAAAAAGGTTTCCTTCTTAATCATTCAGAGCTGGTTATTTATACGAGCAGATAAAAATGTAGTGAGAGAGTGGAAATACATATATATATGTATGTATGTATAAATATATATATATATTTATACAGAGACAGAGAATTGAAGAACCAATAAGAAATGAGTATTGTTCGAAAATTATATTGATAATCATCAAAACAGTGAAAAAACGAACACGTCAAGCTGTAAATGTTTCTTCAGGGTAAGCCTGAAAATGAGGGTAGGTGGAATGAAAGCTGTTACTTAAAGTCATTTTGACTTCTCTAACTATGTCACTGTCAAGGTCTGTTCTGTTTTTAATATTACAAATAGACAAGTTGCACAAGTCAGAATAAAATAAATCTTTCAATACATTTCTGGGAAATTGAGAGAAGTTGAGAAGAAGATTGCTTCAATAATCTAGTAGGACTAAAATGTTGCCTTGCTTTATGCAGGTTAGCAACTTACATTAAACCAATGTTTTCCTTATGCTATCATTATTTATTTTTATGCTTACTAATAAGTTACATATTTTTTAGGCGTTCTGGTGGTGTAGTGGCATGTGTTGGTAGTGACGTGAAAAGTTGGCAGGTCAAAAAGCCAGCCACAGCACAGGAGGAAGATGGGGCTTTCTCATCCTGCAGAGAGTTACAGTCTTATAAACCCAAAGAGGCAGTTTACCCAGTCCTACAGGGTCGCTATGAGTGAGCAGCAACTCAATGTCAGTGAGAGAAAGAGAGAAAATAACTATAATTTGTTAAGAATTATATTCTTATACTTTATATGAAGTTAAGTCAGATAAAATATAGATTTATTCATTAGTAGTAAAATGTAAATAACATACATCCTTTATTAAACATTATTCACCCACCAAAAACTAGTCTCTATTGCAGACTACATCTGACAAGAGAAGTGCATGCATATAACACGTAGAAATCCAGAAACAAGCACTTCTTCTTTTTTAGAATAAACACGGGTCTTGCAGAGAGAACAGAGGACAAAGAATTATATTTGTTAGGGAACACCCATATGGTCATGTACCAAGGGAAAATTTACTAAACTTGACCACTTACAAAGCAATGACAGTGATGTCAATAACAAAGTACAATCCATATCTCACAGACCACATCACTGACCAAATGCCATTTAAATCGATAAAATTATCTGAACATACGTACCCTTAAAAAAAACCGAAAAGTGGGTGAAGGGAGACGTCGGACAGGGCAAGATATGACAAAATACCAATTTATAAACTATCAAGGGCTCATGAGGGAGGGGGGAGCGGGGAGGGAGGGGAAAAATGAGGACCTAATGTCGGGGGTTTAAATGGAGAGAAAATGGTTTGAGAATGATGTACAAATGCGCTTTACACAATTGATGTGTGCATGGATTGCGATAACAGTTGTACGAGCCCCTAATAAAATGTTTAAAAAAACCCCAAAAC